TTATGACATATCCAGGACTCTGACTCATTTTCATTACTGTATGAAGAGTTTATTTTCTTTGATTTATAAATTTTTACTCTTATGAGCTAGTGATAAAAATAAAATAAACATCTGTTTGAAACTTTAGCCTAAACAGGTTCTTATATAAAGAAGGACGAAATAAGCAAATTTAACATAACAGGTTCTTAAAATCTAGGTTGAACTCTCATATGTGGGTTCTTGCTGTATTAAAAAATTAATGGTCTCTATATCCCATGTAAACACCAGTAACTGATGGGTACTGTTCTCTAATTTTTAAAACCACACAGGATGGACAAATTCGTCTATTCCCTTTGCCTAGAAAGCCATGGCGTGCTAGAATAAACTGTCTATAACCAGCTTTGCGAAATGCTCTTGTGCTGTTGTCCTCTCTATCGTTACGGATGTCACTCCTGTTGCGGATACAAAGCTCCAGCACATCTGGATCAAGGCATAATTTTGCAAAACGAGAAGTTAAGGTTATGCATTTCTTTTGCCTACAACATTTATTTTCAACCTCTTGTGGCATTGGTCTGCATTTGCCACATGTGCACCAATCTGGCACTGATTCAAGTGTGGGTTCGGGTGTTGGATTTGGGTCTTGTGATTGAGAAGGGCTCGGACTCTGAGAAGGATCTATAGCAGAGTTAAATGGATTGTCATTGGATGATTCACCAAATGCACCTAACCTTTCTGCATCCTGATCATCTTCATCAAGGTCATCCTCCATTATCAGCAGTGTGTCGATGTAGTCCATACTACCAATACCTCTGCGTAAACTACGAATAGCTAGCTTTTTCACCATATTTGCGTCTAGTGTAGATATCAATTTCTAAAATAAATACAGTAGAACAAGATTGTTATCAATGCAAAACCCTGACAAGACATTGTATACTGTATATGTTATGCTATTATATGTGTAATAATAATATGAAATCATCAATTGTTATTTTTATATAATTAAATATTATTTTAAGGTGAAGTACATACCTTCACATTTTCGTGTTCTTTTGCCCTTTGCATGTCCTCCGACTCTGTAGTTGCGTGAGTAAGGCGAAAACCTTGTCTTGGATTTCCTGCTCTTTTGCGTTTTTGTCTTTCATCGGCCGTTCCCTATACCAAAATCAGACAAATTATTTATTATAATTCCTGGAATATAAACAAAGTTGTGGACATATAAAAGTTTAGATTGCTTTACCTTATTTTGGCAAGGTTTTGCACGCGTGCCACAATGACATTCTGCCGAACACACTACATTTCTACCTTTACACGGACAACCTCGGGTTCCATTAGGCTTTCTTTTAGTGCTGCAAGAACTCTTACAATCACAACGATTTCCCTATGTAAACGGATATATCACTGTTCAATTATATTCGTATTGCTTTACAAAAAAATATGTAAAATATGCATATTTTGACTTACCTCAGAATTCATTATACAGCTTCGAAACAATGGCGGATTATGTCGTCCGAGCAATTTCCGACAGTTTCCGAACCCGTTATTGTTATGCGCAGCAGGGGTGCGCACAATGTGACACTGCTCCTTTAACCTGTATCTGAAGTCTTGCCGACAATGTTTACGAATATATAAGTTTTGTTGCCTAGAAACTATAAGGCATGGCTAGAAAGCTTTTCTTTGGCAGAGGCGTCTTTAAAGCATACAAAATGGACGAATATTTCGAAGAAGGACGACCAACTTTGGTTTGTTTATGTTCAGGCACCTTTTAGGCAAGTTTCAGTGCCCGGTGTAGAATTTCACGGTTAAAATACATTGAGATTGCACTAACATTATGTTAAAATACCAAACCACGTATTAATCACAGAGATTTGACATGAATGGTCCCTAGAAACACATTGTATTGACAAACCAAACGATATCCAACATTTTGCATCCGTAGCTCAGAAGAGTAAGAAATCGGAATTTGTGGCTTGCTTGAGATATGTTGCCTATTCCGCTATATATTTTACTTTACGCTTGCTTTGAAGATAAATATTGTGATACTGAATAAGATTACTATATCATCATATTATAATTTTTGCTATATAAATCTCTAATATTATGGTGGCCATTTTGCTTACAAGTCCAAGCGGTTAATGTGCATGCATGTCCACAATGTCTTGCCATAATAAAGATTTTCCCCAATTTCTCTTGCTGACCCATTGACTGGAAATATACATTCTCTACTTTGCTATTTTATTCTCACGGTTTCAAGAACACC